GAACCCCACATCAGCCTCCCTCGGCTGACACTCTAATAATCTCTATCCTAATTCACAATTTTACTTTTAGAAGCAGCGAAAAAGAGGGCTGAACCCTTCTCCTACCTGCCAGCCCTTCAACCACTGGGAAACAACTATCTTATTTTCCTTGTCCTTGTCTTCTCCATGCTAAAAAGACCCAGTCCTTTCCAGACCAGCCTTTGCAGGACAGCTCCCAGGTATCGTCTTCGCCAACACCTCTCTTAAATCCCAAGGAAAATGCCACAGATCAAATTCCTACTGAGAATTAGGAATGCACGTCTAAGCTCAAACCCAATATATGTCCCATGGCAGTGACCTAACAGGCATACGGTCAGGTAAGGTACACCCCACCAGTTACAAAGCATCTGCAGTCTAAAGAGAACTAGGTAGACAGACATAGAAAAAGGTTACCTTACATAACTTCTAATAAGGGAGCCTCTGCAAAACTGCTCTTGTTAAAATTTTTATAGTTTTCATTAAGGAGTTAGGTGTCTGGGGCAGAATGCTAGATGTCTCTCCAGGAATCTATTTTTTTCCCCCCTTTTCCCTAGTAATTTAGAAGTTTTGCCTAGCTGTGGCTGCTCAATGGGAACATCCCCCAGCCTCTCGTGCTGCTAGGTGAGGCCACGTGATTTAAATGTTGCCATTAAAAGGAACAGAGTAGGGGAGTGAGGTGAGCAACACCAGCCCTCCTCGTCCTCTCTTCCCTGCTGGCTGCAGGGTGGCAGCAACTGGACAGTTAGAGGTGAAAGCACCTGGGTGACCTCGTGGAGCAGAGCCCACTGATCCTGCCTGGACTATTGCACGAGAGAGAGAAAAAAAAAAACACTTCCATACTGCTGGAGCCACTGTGCCTTTTTATACCCTAAGTAACCCAGGTATCTGATAAGCAGGTTGCAGAGTGCTTTAGAAACCCGAGGGTACAAATAAAAGTGAATCCTGAGCAATCCAAAGCAACTCAAGTAACTGCCCTCACAGGAAAGAGAAGTCAGGCTGAAGATGCCTCCATCCTGCCAGAGGAGAGACTGCTGCAAGACTTCCTGGACGCGGGGTGAGGCTCATGTGCCCATCACAGGAGATACCTGGGTTGCTAAGGAGTCAGACCGATGCCTCTAAGTCAAAGCAGTAGCAAAAGGCTACTCTTAAAGAAGACGGTAGAGCTGTCACTACAGGCTTTTCCAATGTTAAAGCTGCCCGATGCTCTAATGCCAGGTTCATGTGCCGTGTACACCAAAGAGGATGAATGAAAAGATTTGCTCTTCTTTGTGTCTTGACCCAAATCATGTCTATCGTTGAAGGTGAGGCAGATAGCACAAAATTCTTGATTAGCTCATCTTTGTCTTTTTTTTTTGTCTGTTTTTTTTTTAAACAAAGTTTGGTTAAATAAAAAAGAAAGCACAGAAAGCATGACGACAGGACAATTTCTGGAGATACAAGGTCACGACTCAGGCTTCACAACACAGCTTGCAGCAGCCATTCAATTTCAGACACTGTGTCTCCAAACTGCCTCGCACAAGAGCCAGCTTTGCAAATTTAAATGTATAACATAACAGCAGTCGAGATGTTTTCTAAATGACTTTTTTTTTAAAAGACATCAGATACTATTTTTTAGGGACCTCTGGGCTAACTTCTCTACCAAGAAACCATTAAAAAACAGCCTTTCTACTCTGAAATTTTCCTTTCTACTTTGGTAAAATGTTTATTTTGCTTACCTAAAGGAACCAAATCAACTATTATTAAATTAAAAAATTTAAAATATTATTAAATAGCTGTCTCTGGGCATATTCACAAATGGATCTGGTCACAATCATGTTCTTGTCTACAGAGTGTCTTTCAAATACAAAGACGGCACTGGGTCTCTGGGCTCTTTTGGTGAACTGGAGTCATGGTCCTCCTGCTCTGGAGGGCCGGCCAGTCCTGCTTCACTATGGCCTTGCCCTTCACAGGCTGTCCTGGTCCCCGTCCAGGGTATCTACTGTGCTTTGCAGACCCAGTCCCAGCATGTTTCCGGTCCTCTGTGCAGGCTGTGAAGCGGACTGACTCCTGCAGGTTTGGGGAAGCAGCCTGGGCCAGGGCCCTTGCAAAGGGACAGGTTTTCCCTGCAGAGGAACCCGGACACTTTCCGGCAACCAAACACGGCGGGTGGGAAATGGGAACAGGCACTGTGGAATTCTCTTCTTTTAGGAATCATCCCAGCCCTCTTCTGTAGGAAGGGTTTCACCATTATTTTACAGAGTTTAAATGAGGGAAAGGAAAGGGTGGGTGGGGCTTGGCAAGAGAAGAAACTAGAAGGCCCCCCCAAACCCCAGAGCTTAGATTGCTGCTTTTCCTTTTCCTGAAAAAATTCCCAGAATATCCTGATAAGGAAAACCATCCTTTCCTAGCCAGAGGGGGGAAAATTGGCTTCTGACCAGGAGTGGAAATTTTGATGGAAAACAAAACTATGGTAGAAGTGAAACTGAAAAGTAACAAAGTTTAAGGCCTGCTTCTTGAATACACTCTCCTTCAACCCCCATCTTTGATCCCAGCAGTAAGGATGGAAGGACTGTAATTATGAACTTGAACTTTTCAAAGTAGCTTAGAAGGTTGGAAATCAATGGGACCTTGGACCCTTCTAGTCCAGTGCTTGCTGCATTGGTCCATCTTACCATAAGCTCCCTGGGCACGTCTTCTCCGTGAAGTCTGCACTCCTAAAGGGAATAGAGCACAGGCTTCTTGGGGTATATCCACTGGGCTTGGTGTCCTGAAAGGGGTTCAATGTCGTAACAGGTCTGAGAAACTGGCCTGACTGGGTCAGGAAGTCGCTGGTCAGGACTGGCCCACTGCAGGGGCCCAAGGGAGAAGGCAAGAGCAGGTGACGGACCACAGCAGCAAATGACAACCAAGAGTTCTGGGTCCACTCATAAAGCTTCACCCAGCAGGTGAAGAAGGCAGAACCCAAGGGATATGGGATGGACCGGGATTCGTGGGCTGCAACCAAGGTCAGGCCAGGACATTGGGCAGGTTATAACAATAGGAACTCAGGGTCATGGGCCAACCAAGGCAGAAGCTAAGGAAAATACACAGGGGGCCTGATGTTTCAGAGTGAGGCAGGAAGTACCTTGTACTGAATCCCAGAATAGGCTGCTGGTTCTGCTTGAACACCATTCACTCAGTCAGGAGTGGCCCTAGGACCCTGCGGGAAAGGGGACCCAGACTTCACTGGAGAGGAAAGGCAGATCCAGGGTCAGAGATGGGGACCAGCAGGCAGAGAAAGGGGGCAGCTTTAGTGGGGCCAGTCATTACCCAAGAATCCCTCAAAGAGCAGCAGACAAAAAAACCTCTTATTCTGGGCAATTTGAACACATTTAGTCATGTCCCCACTGCTGGACAGAATCTTCTGGGTTTTAGGAGCCCAGAAGTAGAGGCTGACCTAAGCCAAGTGGGGAAGGATGAACCCCCTCATCTAGTAGGAATCTGTGATATCTCTTTCTGAAGGGTCAGCTCCATCCTACCAGGTTCAGGATCCTTCTGGGGACTGTGCATCCCTCGGGAGCCCCACCAGGTGAGCTCCAGGGCCAGGCTCCTTGCGGAGTAGCCCATCCCATTTTGGCATGGGCGTCTCCTTCCTCCACAGTTTCAGGCACTGGGGAACCTGACAGGTTCTAACATGGCCTATTGCACGTGGTCACTGCTCTGTGGTCACTGTCTGCTGACCCTGAGTCTCACCCAGCACTGCCGTTACCTCCCCTGTCCTTGAGTTTCTAGGGGTGCTTTAGCAGTTGGGCTGAACTGGATGGGAAGAGGGCAAAGAGGAAGAAGAAAAATATCAGGAATTCTTGCTTTTTGTTGCTCTGCACATCACTGTCCATCAGAGACACACGGAGCACCAACACCGTGAAACCTGCATCTTACCCTCTCTCTGCCCACATTTGCTTTTCACCCCTGATGCTAAACACAAATGAGCAGAGTTCACATACATCTGGAATGGGGCAATTCTGCAGGGAGACAATGGGGCAGAGGAGGGTAGATCTGCCACTGGGTCCAACACCCAAGGTTCACGCCCACATGGTCAAACCATAAACACAGACGCCTGCAACAGCAAGGAGACAGCTTCTCAGGTTGCCTGTGCGTGAATATTTCGCTCCTCCAAAGCCGCCATCAGTGACGAGGAAGGTGATGATGACTGCGGCGTTGGGTAAGGAAAGACGAGGAGAGAGAGGAGAGAGAACAGGAGAACAGGTCTAACAGATTTTTCTTCTCCAAGTGTTTATGATTAGAGCCCCCGTGAGGCCGTTAAAGCTTTAAATACTTAGACGCTGCAATGATTATTTTTAACAGAACGATACCAATTTTGAATTGCAGTTGTAAGGCAGTGGAATGTTTCCAAGCGGCTACAGGACATTTTTACTGAGAGAACCATCACTGCAGAGAGAGCAGGCAAAATTAGCATTAAATGTTTAATGTTATTGTTTGCATATTAGTTTCAGGTTCAGTCTAGGATAAAGTCATTTTAATATGCTTAAGCCTGCTTTATAATATGTCAAGGTGATTTATATAATCAGCATGTACAGTATACTCATGCCCTTTTTATTGCGCGTGTAACCTAATTTTATTATATAAAGGGATCGTAGAAATGAAGTGTTTGGGGTCCTGCTTTTACACCCGGGATAGCTTGCTGTAAGCATGGCTGGTGGGTCCTGTCGAGGTGTGGACCTCTAGATCTTGTCAGCACAATGCAGACTTTTACACTCTGGTTCTCACTCTACCTTCCTCACCAGGCGGAAGGAGCCTTAGAGGGCGATGGGGCTGCTGGGTGGTAGGCATGGGGTGGTGCTGAAAGGGCTCCAGGGGAGAGAGTGCCGCAAAGGCTCAGAGGCCAGAAAGCCAAGGAGGGGTCGTCAGCTAGTCCGTCTGGAGCGGGCCTAGGGCAGGCACGACAGGTGAGGTGGGCAGGGCTGGGGGAAGGCAAGTTAGGGGCAGGTAGTGGAAGACCCCAGAAATCAAGGTGACAGTCTTGAATTGTATTCTGAAGGAGCCAGGAAAGTGTAGCTTTGGGTCAGTGTTGTAAAGATCACAGCTAGCAGAATTATCTGGAAGGACCAGACCAGGAAAGACGGGAAGCAGGGAAACAACTTGAAGACTACCGCCATAATCCAGAGTCTGTACCAGGAGAAAGGCAGGAGCAGAGGAAAGTAGAGGATGGATATATAAAAGGTTTCATGGAGAATAGAACAAGTGGGACTTAGGAACATCTGCCATAAAGCTACTCTTCCGTCTGCCCCATCAGCAGTGCCGCCAGGGACGTCTTGAGTTCTCTTCTCATCCAGGCCCTGCCCAAACTGTGGTGTGACAGGAGGGCAGCAAACACGGTATGACCCGCGCTTCACTGGTTTCACTGTGGACATAACCATGCTCGATAGAGAATATTTAGGAAACACACAAAAAAGGTAGATGGAAAACAAAAAAAAGCAAGAACTCCAGCCACACTGCTCACAAACAAGCACTCTTAGTATTTTGGCATATTTGTTTTTACTGTATTTTCTAGTCATTGAGATTTGTTGTTGTTTTTAACTTGATTTAAACACTGTGTTTGAATTATGAATTCTGCTTTTCATTTACTCAAGGCAGTTTCCATATTATATGTGAAGTATGTTTATAAACACCATTTTCATTGACTAGATGGTATTTCCCCAAATGATAAACACCCAAATTTAGTAAACTATTCACCTCTTATTAGACATTTATTTCTACTTTTTCAATACTCTTCATTACACAATGAACATCTCTGTGGGTAAAGTTAGATTACATTTAAGATTGATTCTTAGGGCTACATGAATAGAAATAGAATTATTGGATCAAAGGGCATAAGTGTTTTTGAAGCTCTTGACATATACTTCAAAATTACTTTCTAGAAAGGCTCAATCAATTTGCACTCATTCTAGAAAAGTATGACAATGCTTCTAATTTTGCCATCCCTGGGTTAATCCTGGGAATTAGATATACTTGAAAAAAATCAGTTTGATAAGTGAATGTGGCATCTTAGTTTTTCAATCCTCATATTGGATTATAGGTTTATTAAATATTATCCCATGTTTGTAGTCAGTTCAAGCTCCTCCTCTGTAAGTTGGTTATTTGGGGCTCTTGACTCAAATCATTTCGAGTCTCAGTAGCCCACACTATCCCTTATGTGCTATATGCTACTAATATAAGAGTTTGAATCTTTTTATTTTTTAAAAATATTTCTTTTGGTTGTTCATCTTTTACATTATGATGGTTACTCTTTTATATCAAAATATATAAAATTTTAAACCATTAAATCTCTTGGTCAGTCATTTTCTTTAAGATTCCTCCTCTCTCCTAAACATAGCAAGTCCTTCCCTCTTAGAAGATTGATGACTATTTCACTTAAGTGTATTTTTGATGGACAAATTACCCCTAACTTTGTCTTCTCACTAGAATTTAGATGGTTCCTTCTTGGGTTTTAAGACAGTGAGTTGAATGAGGCAGGAGGAGTCTGATGAGGATAACGGCACATTCTGAGCTAGACAAACTTTTTAAGGCCCCAGATGGTGTGCGAGGGCTTCTGGAGGGAGACATGGGGGATAAAGGGATGCTCAGAGAGGTGCTCCTAGGAAGCCAACACCCTCTTCTTCCTGAATCTTAGCAAAGCGTCGCGTTGGACCTTTTGCAAGAGCACAGGAATGCACTCATCAGTGACAGCCCCCATTTTCTCAAGCTGTTCAATAATCTGATCTACTATATTCTTAAAAGGATCCCACATTTTGCCCTAAAAATATAATATTATGTAGTTTCTGAAAATCTCTCTCCCCCTCCCATACCACGTACCCATATCGATGACGACCCACGTCGCGGATGAGCCTCTCGGAGAGGTAGGCGCCAATGCGATCGAGCTTTTCTGGGGCGGAGAGGGCGTAGAAGGTCAGCTTCTCCATGTTAGTCTTCACCAGGCCATCCTGGAAAAGACAGACCAGGCTCTCGGTGGCCATGCGATGGCTAGAAGAGTTCAAGTCTCAAGGGAAATGATCATTCAATTTAACCAGCATTCAACAGAGTGCCTATCATATATGTGACAGACATATGTGGCATGATTTCGGGGATACAGAGATGATTAAAACCTAGTTCCTGCTCACCAGGAACTCACAACTTAGCCCAAAGTGTGCTATCTATAAACAAAAATAGTGGATATAAATGTACGTATGTGTGTGTGCATACTGCAGGGATTTACTACATGAATGTGTAGATATGTATGCATGTGTGTATAGGGAGGGCCGTGTGTGTGTGTGTGTGTGTGTGTGTGAATGGATGACAAGGCTTCAATGAAAGCAACTGGGAATTAAGATGTATTGGATATATGACACCAACACACGAGCAGGAAGAAGGCAGCTCTGCAGCTCTCACGGAGCTGTCCAGGGGATGCTGGAAATGGGACTCTCCACGACCCATCAAGGAGCGGTCATTGATTCCCCAAGAGCAAGTCAAGTACATCAGACCCCGACATTTTTGAACCACACAACCCGTAATGCAGCGGGACTGTGGAGTGGTGCCTTGGAAGCCAAGAAGCCTGGTGTCCTGTGTGCACACCCGACACCTGGCAGACACCAGAGGGAGCACGGAGCAGACGTGGGCTCCAGAGCCAAAACCCAAGAAGGGAAGTGCTCACACTTAAAAGCCAGGAAAGAGTACCATCAAGAGAGCTGGCTGCTCAAGGAACTATCACCCAGAGAGACATGAGTGAGAAGGATGTTCAGCAGCAGCCCAAAGCATGCCAAGACAAACTTTCAGAGCCCTCCGCAGATTCTGACTTCAGAGTGATCCAAAAAGCTTCTCAGTCTTCAGGCTCCCAACAGCTTCTGGCCATTGACCAGGGCTGTGGCCACAGTTTCGGTTCCTCTGAGTGGGTCCTGGGGGGGGCCTGCCTTCCGTTGCAGCAGCTCCCAGGGCCCTGTGTGGGGTGAGAAGGTGAGAGGCACGATGATGGCAGGAGATGTGACCCACCTCAGGATCCTCTGGGAAGATGTTGTCAACCAGCCTTTTGTACCTGGGGCGCAGGGCTCCACAGCAGCCACACACACCTGCAACAGCAATGAGAAAAACCTGTGAGCCAAGCCTCCCTGGTCAGGCTGAGGGGACCAGGCCCCCCGCTTGTTAGAAACCAAACCCAAGCTGGAAACAGAACGGTCCCTCCCTCAGAGTGCCAGGGCCTCATCCTTCCAGGGCCTCATCCTTCCACAGCTTCCCCACCCCCACCTCCACCCCCATTCCAAGATGTGTCTTTCCTTCTTGGTGTCTTTTGCTTAGGGATCAGGCACAAGTGCCAGCAGACCAGCATTTGTTCAGGAAGCCAGGGCATAGAGCACACACATGCATGCACACACGTATGCACACAGGTACACACATGTACACACACACACACACAAGCGTGCGCGCTCTGGGACAAGACTATATATAAAAGTGCCTCCTGCAGCCTAAGAATCTCCCGCGGTGTCCTGGGAGACAGATGCGGCTTGGAAGAGCGGTCGCTCTACCTACCCTGCCCCCTCGCTGGCTCCCACTTCTTTTCTACTCCAGTCCTCGATCTCCTTTACCATCCTCTCCCCTGGGGCCATTTCCATTATAGAATGTTATGTGAAACTATGACAAATTAACATGGCCATTAATTACTCACATCTGAAAATACATCTTTACTGCTGCGAGACCATGGTGTTTGAAAACTGTGGTGTTTGGGAGCTGGAGGGCCCGGTGGGGGATGGGCACCAGTCGATGGTTCTCAGTGCCAGCCCTCCCCCACCTCATGAAGTTTTCACCAGTCTGGGGCAAAATGAAAAACCGAGTATAATGTGGTACATTTCTAGAAGGCTGAACCTCTTCTGTTTAGAAGACCGACATGACCTCCTTCTTTGTATTCTGGTGCTGTGAAACGACGGTGTAGGAAATCAATGATAATAAGACAAACTTTGGGAAAATAGAAAGTGGACAAGCCTAGGTCCCACCATAAAAAGTCTTCAGTTGGAACCACCGTTCCTCCTCAACTGTTCCTCCCGATGCAGACACTCTCCGCCTGGCACATCCCAGCCGCACACTCAATATGTGTGTTGAGGTGAGGGGGACAGTGTGCCTTGGGGAAGGGGAGAAGGTGGCAGGGAAGAGTCTGGGAGCCTGGGAAAGTCCACCCCCTCAAAAAAAACATTGGCTTCTCATTCTACCAATTAATGCTTAATTCTGTTTGTACAAACAGTCTACTTGAAAAGCAAATGGATCCTGGAAGGATCAAGCCTATGGATCATTCAGAAAAGAATGAATTACTTTAGTGGGAATTACTTTAATCACACAAAGAGCTTTACTGTGGCCGGAAAAGCTGCTCTCAGGGACTGGGCAGGGGTGTGAGGCAGCAATGCCAGGAGGAGGAAGGACTGCAATCTGGGCTCCAGGGGACACTCGGGTGTTAGGGAACGGGTGTGTCCTGGGGGGCGCCCTGAGGGCAGCTTATCAGATTCATGATATCTAGGGACCCCCGCGGTCCCACCCACTCTGGGCACGGGGAGGATGGCCAAACAGGTCCACGGCTGCAGACTGGCCTCTCGGTTCAGTCTCCTGGGCTGGCCTGGCACTGGCGTCTCCTTATCTCCTCCCTGCCCCTGGCTGGAAGAAGGTGTTAGGGCCCCAGCTGGCTGGCATCCAGGGTTATTTCTCACGACGGGACAGCTCCCTGGGGTCACGTTGCTCCTCTTGGGCCTCAAGGCCCAGAATTTAAACTTGCCCTCCTGCCCTCTGCCCAGGACAGCCGCCAGCTGCCCTCCCCTCTGCATCCGCCAGGCCCAGGCGAGCTGAGTCTTTGCACAATTGCTAGCTGGTCGATGCTCGCCGGTACATCTTACTGCAGCTTCCCCACTGACCACTTACTCAGCAATGGCAACCAAGGCCAAAGGAGGGCCAAAGGCCTAAGAAGTGAGAATCTCAAAACGTTCCTTCAGAAGATCAACCCTCCCTGGCTTGTGGGTCCAAGATAATAACTTGACCTCAACTCCTAGTCACTGCCCAGCCACCTTCTCCAAGCCAATGTCCCTGAACCTTCCTGACTCAATGCAAATGTGACACATCACGAGTGCACACAGCAGACCAGAGTCAAATGCTGTCGACAGATAACGTAAGAGGCTCACTGGAGAGGATCCACAGGACTGGCCACTGGAGGGTGGCCAGGAGAGCGCCATCATGTGTAACTAACAAGCATTCCTCACGAAAGGGTCTGAGGACAAATAAACCTATGAAATCAGATACACCAAGTCTTCCTATTTCAAATTTGCAGGCATATTAGCTTATTAAAGCCCCTGAAAACTCCTAAGGTAAGGGAATTGACTTAAATTTGTTCAAATCAACATCTCCCCACTTTTCTCTGTTATAAATACCACTGCAATGAATACTTTTAATCTTCTTTTTTCAAGGTATATGTATTGCCTACTATGTGGGAATGGAAAGGTACACAATACTGTAAATTTGGTACATTGGAAGCAGTGCTAATTTTAGAGTTTAAGAAGTCCTAGGTTCAAGTCCTGTTTCTCCCATTTGATCTTTGAGACTCAGCTTCCTCATCAATATAATGAGAAGATTTTCCCTAAGGTACAATTCCATAATTGAAGTCCCAGGCCATTTGACATAGACTCTAAAGGGAGAAATCACCTTGAGTTCTGATGGTTGGGAGAAGGCTTCCCAGGAGAGGAGGGACAAGAAGATGGGGGCAGGATTCATGGAGGTGAAAAGGACAGTGGACGCTTTACTCCTGTGCCAGGCGCTGGGCTAAAATACTTTATAGGCATCAACTCGTCCAATCCTTACAACAACCCTATGGGATAGGTTTTATTTTTATCCCCATTTTACAGATATGGAAGCTGAGGCACCAAAAGGTTAACCTGGCTAGAGCCTTACAGCTAATAAGTGGCGGACTAGGATTTGAACCCCCCAGGTCTACCTCTAGAGGCCATGATGTCCTTCACTACTATACCAGGGAAGGCATGCGCTAGTGCTGCCATCGAGTTAGGGAAGGCTTATACCGAAGAGGAAGGACCACCAGGGCAGTGCATCTTGAAGAAAGACAGAATATGTCACCCCAAAATATGCCTCTTTGACATAAAGATTATCTCCAGCTGAAGTCAATTAAGTAGCAGCAAAAGGCAGAAAAAGCTCTCCCTATTCTGCCTAAAGATGGGAAATAAATTCTCCTTTTACTGGAGACAAGAAGATTCTTCCTTTTAAGAAGTCATTTCTTCACCATTTACTACCCGTAGCCCAAACACCTTTGTCTCGTCAATTCTTCACAAATATATTGTTTCTTTGTCTAAAAGGTATAAAAGCTTCCTTCTCTGGTCACTTCTTTGGGTTATCCTCTTGTAAAGGCTCCCACACACACGTGAACATTTAATCAGATTTGGATGCTTTTCTCCTGTTACTCTGTCTTTGCAGTTTAATTTTCAGACCCAGCCAGGGACACTAAGAGGGCCAAGGAAAACTTTTTCCTCCCTTACAGTTTCAAACTGTAACTGTACACTTGTCATCTGGGGAGCTTATTAAAACGCAGATTCTGTTCAGAAGAACAGGGTCAGGGCCTGAGACTCTGCATTCCCACCAGGCCCCAGGTGATGCTCATGGCCCTGGTCCAGGGACCACACTTTGGGTTTGCAAAACACCAGAGCACAGTAGCTAAGAATTCGGGCTCTGGGGTCAGACAGGCTTACATTGAAATCCCAGCCCTTCCTATTTCTTACTGTTTGATCTTGAATAAGTTACTTAACCTAAATCGAAGTTCCCTCATATGAAAAATGAAGATGGTAATGGTTCCTTCCCAGGGGCTGTGGTGAGGATTAAATGATAACATCTCCCCAGCTCCTCCTTTTCTAACTCCCTTGAAGCAAAGATACAGAAGACCAGGCTGAGGCCAGACTGAGGACAGCTTTGAACAACAGGCTGAAGAGTTCAGGTTTTGCCTAAGTTAACTGGGAGCTCTGGGAACATCGTGAGCAGTGGGTGACATCAAAAATCAGTCCAGAGGTGGCATGAAGGATGGGAATGGACACAGAAATTTGAGACAGAAGTGTGTGAATGAATCACCCCTGGTCAGGGGCAAACACTCGAACTGAGTGATGTTATCCAGACAGGAAAGGAAGGGGCAGAATCAGCAAGACCTGAGGGGCTCTGTGAGGAGGAAGAGGAGGAAAGTACGAAAGATGACTGTGGGCTTTCCTGAACAAGGACCAGAGACCAGCAACCCCCATGACTGAAATGGAGGAGACAGAGGTGTCTGGGGCTGGGGGAGTGGGGACACCTAGGTGGGAACATCCAGGTAGTCGTGAGGCGGGCTCTGGCTCCTGGGAGAGACCAGGGCTGGAGCTGGTCACTGGCCCTCAGTGACCACTGGTGCTGTGAGAGAGGACCTGATTGCTCCAGGCAAAAAGGGACGGGAGGAGCAGAGCCCCCCCGAAGATGGCTGCCTTGTCCACTCCCTCTACCACTTTCTTCCTATTTCCCCACCCACTACTTTTCTATAAAGCCTTTTCCCTTTCTTTTTCTCATTTCTCTGCCCGTTTCTTAAGGCCCTACTGTGAACTTCATGCTGCCCACATGATTCCAGAAACATGCCCTTATTAGCACCCCCCCTAAAAATCAAAATCCCCTGTCTCAGTGATCTGATTATTTAATTCACAAGATGCTAGTAGCTGATCAATAGTCTTCTGAAGGGTATATGCATCTTTTAAATGTTTATAGATAAGCAAAATAATCTCTAACAGTTGAACCTTAGAGCCATTTGGGTTGGGGGAGGGTATTTACATGAGAAAACCAGTATACAAATGTCTGCAAACTGTTCTGTTATGTTGGGCTCTGGAGTTTGTTTGTTTGCTTCATTGTTTTTCACTCTTTACACACTCAGTTTTAAGGAAAATAAGGTAGGGAAGCAAAATTAATAGCCTTGTTTTTTTGTTTTTGGGGGGGATCGGGGGGAGTACAGAAAAAGTTAATAGTTTTTTTGTTTGTTTTTAAGCAACCACACTAACTTTCAAAAGAAGATGGGGTAGACAACTATGAA